CTATCTATCTATCTATCTATCTATCTATCTATCTATCTATCTATCTATCTATCTATCTATCTATCTACCTATCGAACTCCAGACAAAAGCCTATGTTGTTAAGAAGAAAAGGGAGAAGTGGTAAGTGAGGAAATGGAAAGGTGGCAATGATGCTCTTCAGCAATGCACGATTTTCCTATTTGAAATGATTTTCTGGTCCTTTTCTCGAGAATTAAGGGCTGCTTTTTTTCTGGCTTACTTGTAGGAGGAACCTTTACCTCGTGAAGGAGTTGGCCGACAGAGCTGCACAGGGCCGGGCCTACGGAAACCTCGGCAATGCCCACTACCTGCTGGGCAACTTCAGCAAAGCAATTGTTTTCCATAAGCAGGTGAAACACAGTGTTCTGAGCTAGGCTTCCCCAAAAAGCACGAAGCAGAGTCCTTGTCCCGCCAAAACGCCTTTTATTAAACGAATGTGAATTCCTCTCATTCCCATTCAGCCAAGGCTTAGCAAACAGTCTTTCAAAGGAGTATTTATGACCACAGACCTTATCTATCTTGGAAAGCTGCCATGTCAATATTTTCCAAATGAGGTGCTGTGCAGGGAAAGACTGGGCAGAGAGTCTCTGAGATTCAAGGACAGATCTTCACACTCCTGAAACGAATCTAATGACCAACCGAACAAATTGTTTCCTGCAAAAGCCCACTCCCCTTTCACTTCTCTTTTATTTCCTATGGGAGGGGCCATTCACCATTCACTTGTGGCTTTACTCACAACCCTGATTTCTTAGCTGTTCTTTTTTTCTGGCAGCTCTGCCCATGCACACACTGGGAACAGGCTCCAGCTGTTCCTCTGCCTCACTACTTTCTAGCTCTGAAGGCAGCTGAGAACTGCCAGATGGCCCTGTTCCCCTCTCTGCCTCCGACACAGAGCCCCCATCAGGTTCTTCCCCAGCCTCCAGGACTGGCCCATGCTCCTCCCCAACCTCCTCGCTGTCTGACTCTGCTGCCAGCTCCGCTGTTGGGTCACAACACAGGGTAGAGGTGGGGTTGTCTCCTTTCTGACCCATTGTAGAGATGTACAGCATGGGGGGGGGGATGGGACTCAGGGCCATGAACAAAGATATGTTATTACAACAATGTTGTCAAATTCGACAACATTCGAAGCACGCTTATGGCGTTGCAATCATTACTGCTTCTCAGTTTGCCGGGGGGCGGGGAGAGAATTGGAATGCAGGTTCTAGACATCGTCTGAGACAACCCCTGGGAACCAAGGACACTTCTGCAGGTGTTTGCCTAACCCTAAAGATATTTTCCCATAACAATATATCAACACTCAATTGGACAATATGACCTGCACTAATCAAGGGAGCGGGAAGTCTATTCTTTAACTATTATGGGTTTGCGCAGGAGTTAACCAGAGTTGGTTTTGCTATCCATCTGTGCCAAAATGATGTACTCAATAAAGTTTTGCACTAAGAGATCGGATCGTCTCGACAGTGCTTGCTTGGTTGGGTTCGTCAGTTAAAAGCTTGACAGCTTCAACCTTAAACTGTCTACCGTGGACCTCACCCCATTCCTAAGAGGTCCGTAAAGGGGGCGTGCATAAGTGCACCAGTGTGCCTACCACCCCTGTCCTACTATCCCCATTTATTTGTACCCATTTCCTCTGTTTTCCTCTGTTCATGTCCATGTTCATATACCTGTTATCTTGTACATGTTTAACTAACTAACTAACTAACTAACTAATTGTGTGTGTGTGTGTTAGCCCTAGTGTGGAAACCAGCCCTAGTCAATAAACGAGTCCCAGCCACAAAAACCGACACAGGACCCAGAACAACACAGGACATCATCACCAATCACCCTCACCAAACATCAATTCCATCAACCAATCAAGATGTGACAACACAGCCAACCAATCCGTTTAAAGCAACAAAGCCAACATTATTCCACACACCCCCACCTATATTTATAGAAAAACGGCAGCTCCGATCATGCTTTGCTCGCACAAGGACGAAGCCAAAGGCACCAAGCTCTATG